ATCTGATACCAAAAGTTAACTAATTCTTGGAACTATGTTTCTGTGGAAAATGCATTAGTGGGTATTTTAACAGAAAAACCATTATGCTTTGGTATGGCTGGAAAACTGTGACCTTGTTTTAGGTTTTTCTTAAAAACAACAACAAAGTCTGGATTAATGTTAATAAAATGTTTTTGAAGACTCAATTTTCAATTAAAACAGAATTTGGATAGAAGGTGATGTTAAAATGTAGATATATTCCTACATTGTTGCAAAACCAAAGAGCACAGCATTACGAGTCAAAACACGGTGCACTGAGGGACCAATCTCATTTAATCAGCCCAAAAGAATGAAATACCAAAGTGAACAAAGAATGATGGAGGCAATGGAAAGTCTGAGGGATTGGTTATTGTTGTTGTAATGTATCTCATAATAACAGCTTGGACTATCACTAGTAAAACAAATGTATATTTTTCCTAAACACAAACTGTCACTACTAAAACAATGTAGGATTTAACATACGTGCTCATCTGGAAAGCTCCTCTTTAAATATGAAGTAATTATAAAGGGTAATTGAAATAAAAATTAAATCTTTAGGTAGCTCCAAGAGTAGGGAAATAGTTTTCTTAATGATCTATTTTGAAGTGTAATTTAGAATACTAATGCATTAACATTAATGGTATCTTTAAATAAATGTTCAAGTTAAATAAAAACAATAAAAAACACTAATGTTGGGAGGTTTGGTACCTTAAAATAAATAGAGCACCTATTTCTTAATGAATGGCTTTGTCACACATGTATTATCTCCTCCATTTCAAAAACTAAACACAAAACTCAAAAGATAAGCAATCTATCTATATACATATGTAGATATATGCATATTCACATATACATATATAGATATATGTATATTCACATATACATATATGCATATGTTTATATAATTATACAAAAACTGGCACATTTTTTAAAAGAGCAAACAATTTAACAGGTTTAAAAATATTTTTTAGATCTGTGAAATTGTGTGCTCATTAAAAAAAATGTACCAGTTATTTATGAATTCTTGATAGGGTGTGTGTGTGTGTGTGTGTGTGTGTGTGTGTGTGTGTGTATAAATAAGTAGAAGTAGCAACAGAATTCTTGGATTGATGTCCCACCTTTCTTTGAAAGAACTCTAAAGTGCCCTGATATCTTTTATCTATCTCCTTTACCCTAACAACTGTGCCTATGAGATAGTTGAGGGGAGGGAAGTTATTATCCCTATTCTGCAGATGGAGAAACTGAGAAAAAGAGAATTAAGTAGCTTCCCTAAGGTCACACAGTGATTCAGTAACAGAGCAGGAACTAGAAACCTGACTTCCTGATACCTAATTCAGTCTTCTATGGAACAGATTATGTGCCTACTATGAAGCACTATTTTTGTAAAGGCTTCCCTTTCAATAAAGGAAATAGAACCAGTCATGTGACTTTCATTCAAGAAAGGGTGTATGTGTTTTCATTAGCACCTTACTTGTCTACTCCTGGGAACGGGATAGGAACTCTATACCAGTATTATCTTGTTATGACAAGAGCTAGCCAACTAAACCAAGGGAAAAAAAAAAGGTTATTTGGTTTGTCAACTAAGCTCATTATACTTCTGAAAGTGTTCAAGTGCTTTGATATTTCAGTACAACTTCCTCTTAAATGTAAATAGAGTAGTGCCTTTATTGTTCCCCTGCAAGCATTTCTTTCATACCAAAGTTACTCAACCATTGGTTTTAAAATTATCATGTGATATACTCTTTATCAAATAAATTTTAGACAAATCCACCTGAAAAATCTACACCAAATATTACTTTAAGCAGTATTTCTTGTCAAATTTGTTTTAGAATATTCAAATAAACCTTAAAATGAGAAATCCTCCAAGAATTGGAAAAAGAACTAAAATACTAATTTTTCTTAATAGCCAGTATATGCCACTGTACAAATTTTGCTACATTTGGCTGTCAAGTTTACACAAATCAGTAGTTTTTTAAAAGCAGTAACAAATTTCTGATCCAATAAAAATCCAGATGGATAACAGAATGAAAACAAGTGTTCCTACGCGCACACACACACACAAGGTGGGTGACCTTTATTTTCTTTCTTGTTTAAAACAATTACATAATTATTTTTAATTCATAGTTCTTTTATTTTTATTTATACCACTTTTAAAACACTGCCTACCTAAAGCTTTTATCAATGAACTTTGGTGATCCAGTAAAAGTCCACTGCAAACACAAGCAAACAATGACACACACCCTTTCTGCTACAACTTATGCAAACAGTAAATAGGATACAACTACCACCAAGGTATTTTTCTTCAATTGATACTGTTTTTCTATATCTAGCACAGTTGTTCTGCACAAATATTAAACACTTCCAAGAATTAAGGCTAAAATCAGATATGATCGAGGGCACTCCTTCCTCTTAGTTCACTGTAAAAGATCAATTCCTTTTTTTTTTCCCTAATCCTACAACAGCATTTCTATAAATCACACTCTTAGAAGGCATTTTTGCTGTTATGGTCTTTTCATGTAAAAGAACCAGAAACACTTTTCATATGTAATTCTAATCAACACAGAGGATTATTCTGTGAATTTGTAAATGCTAATGGTCTGGCTCAATAGAGTACTACTTACGGATTACATTAATAATGAAAGATGATACATTAGTACTTTCCTAATCTACTATTCCTTGTGTTACAAGTTAATTCACTATAGATTCATTTAATATAAACTCTCCTTTTTTATTTATCTTGAAATCAGCTAACCTGCTTCCAAACAGGGTGTATGCAAGTAGACCCATACACACATACTTAAGAAAACTGCCAGCCAAAATAACTGTTCAGTTATGAAGGATACAAAATACATAGCATTTTAACTTGAAAACAATAAATTCTTCACGATGAGAGGGAGACGGAGAGAGGGAGAGAGACAGAGAGAGAGAGACAGAGAGAGACAGAGAGAGAGATTCTGGGAGGAAAACTTTACCCGTAATAGGCTAAGCTTGGTCCCCAAACACACAGTATCAGGCTGTTTACCATTTTTATTAACCCTAAGAGGGCACTGTATCATACATGAATCATGTTTTTTGAATCAAATTTGCTTCATCAGACAGCTTTCAAGCCATGTACCTTCAGTGAGATCCCTCAAAGAACAGACTCCAACCCTAATACCTCCTGTAAACAGAAGGCAGAAACCAACAGCCAGAGCCTCACCTGAATCCAGTCCAGGTTTTTATTACCCTGCTCCTCCCCTTCAGGGACAGGCCGGAAACAGTAAAAGCTATCAGTTCTTCAGTTTGTGTGTGTTTGTGTTTTGTTTTTGTTTTTGTTTTTTTTTTAACTAGAATCAGATCTGGGCAAAAATTGTTACTTTTACAGTTTGCTGTGTCAAAACATACCTACTAAGACACACAGGGACTTTATTTCTGTTGGTCTATTGATATATTCTATGCAAATTTTCAGCTAACCCTTTCACTCCCTTTAGAAAGTTGGCAGAACTACCTAGAATATTTGTTTGGTACAATAAGTACAACAAAATAACCTTCAGTAAATGAACGACATTATAGGAAAAAGTCTAACACATCAACTTTATTTGAGTTTCATTAGTCTCCAAAAGTCATTATTCTTTTTCAATTATTCTGTCATTCACCTTTTTGGACTTACTTCCGAAAGAGGAAACAGCTTTTCCTCTGGAAAACTAATATGGGGTGGGGGGAGAGGGGGAAGTATTTTATGATTACAGCTAAATCTTCTAAAATGCTACTACTGTTTTATAAAATGCCTACTAGATTTAGAAGTATACTTGTTACAGAGACAAAAAAGAAAGAGATAAATGTGACCCCCTGCCAGCCTAATCGCCCAGTTGCAATGCTTGCTAGTTGTTTACTCAAAAAGCAAAACAAAACAAAATTTAAAAAGCTCATCAATTATAATAATCAGCTGGTCCTGTTCAAGATTCCCTGTTGGAGTAACTAACCCTAAAGGATGCCTTTAAAAGCCAGCACCTCAGCAAAGGAACAGCTATGGAATCAAAAAAGAAACCCAACATTTGAATTTTTCTTTTTGTCTTCAAGCTTTGTGTATTTCAGCTCTACTCCAACACACAAGCCAATTACCATGCCTTCATATTTAGAATGAACTGCCACCTGCAGTTACACAGCACTATTCACAGGCCTTTGAAGAAAATTCCCAGAACAATGATGAACACTCATACAACTATTACTGACAAAACCCATGTTTTTGTTTCACATTCTGTGCTTCTTGCAGATTCACTAAAATTCCTCCATAACAGATAAAAATAATTTGGCTAGTGGAAAATATAATTCAGTTTCTATATAAGAGTTTAATTAAATTAATAGTTATTTGATAAGCTAATTAATTATTCACCCTGTCACCCAGGGAAATTGGTTGGTAACTTTCTAAAGGAATTTTCTCTGCACTTTATTTTCAAAAACAAAACAACAAAAAGAAAAAAAAACTTTTAAATAACATTTAAAAAAATTAACATGTATCCGGTCTAGAGTACTGCAATCCAGGGGAAGGTGAGAACAGGAGGAAATCTAAGCAAGACTTATTTAGACCTTCCAAATAATATTCTAGTCACTAAAAAGAAAAATAGTGCTGTTTAAAGCTGCCTTTCTTCGGCTTGATTCAAAGAAAGGTTTGTAGTGTTAGATTGGGTTTTTCAATCTGTGTGGAGGAGTGTTGTGGGGAGGGAGGGAGAGAAATGACCTGGATGGAAAAATGAAAGTGTTCCTGTTTTTAAGCCTCCCTCACATTAACTGTTTTCCTGGTTCTTGGGAGGGCCTTACTTTGGCAGAAAGGCCCATACAGGAGCCCAAAGTAAAATAAACAAAGCTTAATTCAGGGCTTTTGCCATTTAGGTCAAGTTATTAAGAATGAGAAAGAGTAGAGTTCAGGCAGCACAAGTTCCTCATGCCTGTCTTATGCTACTTCCCCCACTTTGCACCCAATTACAAAACAAAGATGGTCTCACCTTTCACAGCTGTAGCCTCCTTCAGATGATGGGACATAAAGTCAATGCTAGCATAGGTGTTGGCTGTGGGCAAGGGTCCAGAGCCTGGTCCCACACAACCACCTGTGTTGCTGCCATTTCCACCATTGATGAGCCCACTGAGGCCACGGGTCCTGGCCCAGGTATTCTTATCTCCAGACTGCTGCTGCTGCTGCTGCTGCTGCTGCTGCTGCTGCTGCTGCTGCTGCAACAGCAGGCCAGCTTCATCTCTAACATCAATGGCAATGTAGTTGAGGCCATTCTGGAAGCCTGCTGATGTCTCCCGACACATAGGAGAGCTACTGCTCCCGGGGCAACCAACTAATGCTCCAGGTTGGTTTTGTGTCCACCTCGGCTGCTGGGGCTGAGGTGGCAGAGGGAGTGAAGGCTGCTGAAGGTGGGGAGATGTAGATGGCTCTTCTTCACCTCCTCCAAGACTTTCACCACCACTGCCACTGGGCCCTTCGCCGCTTTTCCTGAGAGAGACGTTTTCCACAGAGGCCGAGTTGTGGCGCTTAGGATTGTGTGCGAAGGATGGGGACACAGGGGTCACAGTAGTGGTCGAGGAAAAGGTTTCCGAGCTGTGGCGTCGGCGGCCACCCTGTGGGTCAGCACGGATGACCTTGGCACCCCGGTGTGGGTCTGGGGGTGGGCTGGCTAGCAGGAAGGCCTCTACACCAGACACCTGCTCCATCAAACTCAGCCTCTTCACACCAGATGTAGGGCTGGTCACCCGGGCACTTTCTGGCTTCGGAGGTGCTGCAATGGGCTGTGGTGGAGTGGCAGCTATGCCGAAGGCCATCTCGGTGTAGTCACCACTATCCCCTGACTCCGGGGGACAAGAGGGAGAGGAGGCAGAAACAGGGGCTGGGTGGCAGGTAGAAGAAGCTGGAGGCAGGCGGTATAGCTCTCCTGGTGGTGGTGGAGGTGGTAGTTGCTGCTGCTGTGAGGAAGAAGTAGAGGAGGAGGCAGGAGGTGTTGGCAGTGGTGGGCAGGGTGAGGAGGCCTCAGGAGACATCAAGGCATCCAAAGATCCCACAGAGCCACCACCCTCAGTGCCAGATTTGGGTGACTTGGGTGAGCCAAAGCCAAGGTTCATATAGTCAGAGAGAGGGGAGCGCCTCCGGCTATCACCACTGGTGCCAGGGGTACCTGAGCCCATTGAAGAGGCGGGGCTGCTAGCTGAGAGTAGTGATGACGATGAGGCTGCTGAGGTCAGCAGGGGAGGTGGAGGTGGTGAAAGGTGGGTTCCAGACTCACTAAAGTCAATGTTGATGTACTCACCTGGGCTTTTAGGCTCAGGTGGCAGTGGGTACTCATGCATGCTAGGTAGGGTTCTAAGCCCCTCCAGGGACAGTCGAGTTGGCCGGACTGCTCTGCAACGCTGAATGAGGAAACTCTCTGGCCGGCTGTTGTTGTCACTGCTGCTGCCACTCTGCCTAACTGCTGAAGGCACTAGGTGGTGCGGTTGGGAGTGGCTGCCCCCGTTAGATGCAAAGGGCCCGGTGGTCTGGGTACAGGGGGTAGTCGTGGCGGGCAGTGGCTGCAGCCTCGGCTGCTCTTGCTCCTCTTCCACAATCCTCCTCCCTGCTGGAGAATTCATGAAGACATACTGGTCACTATCCCCGTTTCGAGGACAGGGAGTCTTGTAGGACCGGGGCAGTGAGCTGTAACAGCAGCCTGGGACTCCCTTGGGTGGCTCTCCACCACCAGGCAAGGGGACTGAGTCATAGAAAAAGTCAGGTGGGGTGAGAGAAGCTCCAGCATCACTGGGGGACATGTTAAGGTAATCCCCATTGGGAAGTAGCTTGCCCTCAGAGCTTTCCACCGAGAGCTTGGAACCACACCACATCCGCATGTACCCACTGTCCTCAGGAGAGCTTTCAGCTGGAGAACTGGTCTTGCAGCTGCTGCCATTCAGTGGAGAGCCTCTACCACTTGCTGATGAGGCTGCCTGGGAGGCTGCACCCGCAGCAAGGGAGGCTGCTGCCATCCGTGGCTGTAGTATCTGTTTGGGAGCAGAGACACTGGTGGGACTCATGGGCATGTAGTCGTCACTTTTGCAACTTCCAATGCTGCCCCCTGCCAGTGGGGCCACTCCAGGAGTCATGGGCATATAGCCATCATCTGCTCCAAGGTTACTGCTGGAGCTCCGGTGGGAGCCAATCTCAATATCCCCATAGTCCTCTGGGTATGGGTTGTAGGTCACTTTGGGAGATGAGGCTGGGTAAAGGCGGCTTGAGCTGCCTGCAAAGCTGGCCCGCATCAGAGTATATTCATCAAGGGAGGCAGAGGACACTTGGGGTACTGCACGTTGGCGAGCAGGTGTGGTCAGAGAGTAAGTCCTCTTTCTGTGACCTTTGTCCAAGTCTGGGGCCCCTTCCCCGGACACCCTTCGATAGGTTCGGCCACATAGACTCAGGGGTCTCTCCATGGTCATGTATCCATATAGTTCAGTCCCACTGCCATCCCTCGCTGGTGGGGTCTCAGCTATGGACTCAGGAGTGTTGCTTCGGTTACTGCAGAAGGCCCGCAGGTCCCCAGGGCTAGAGCCATATTCGTCCAAGGACATGAAGCCTGGGTCACTGGGGGAGCCAGAAGCAGAAGCACTGCCACTAGAGGGCCGCTGGCCCTGGTGGAGGTGAAGGTGGTGTGGATGCGGATGCTGTCCTTGAGGCAAGGAGTAAGAAGCTGAGCCATGCCCGCTGCTGGAGGAGAGGCTGCCAGGGCTGGTGGCAGACGGAGGAGAATGGGACACCGGCATAGACATGGATCGGCTGTGTTGCAGAGGGCCCCCTGCAGGGGCTAACATCATCTTATTAGGTCGCATGGAGGCGCTGCAGCTGCTGCTCAGAGTATGGGACCTGCTCAGGGGAGTCCTCACCGGGCCGGGACTCATGGGGCTGCCGGCCACTGAAACTGGCCTGCAGCCCACCCCTCCTGCGCTCCCACTGCTGCCGTCCCCCTCGCTGGCCGTGCGTACCCTGCAAGAGCTGCACTTCCCAGCTCCAGGGGCCTGGGTCGCAATAGGGGCCCCCGCGGCAGGAGGCGTGGCAGCCAGGCTGTCGGTCCGGGATCGGCGAAGGAGCCCGGTCTGGCTGGGGGGCAGGTTGACCAAATGATGGTGGTGGTGACGCCGGGTGCCCGGGACGCTGATGGGGTGAGTGGAAGAGGAGCCCGAGGACTGGCTCTTGCTGCGGGGACGGAATTCGAACAGCTCCTTCAGTGCTTTCATGGCCTCCAGAATGGTTTCGTGGATGTTCTGGGCCACCACAGAGTCATCTGCCTGCATCCAAAGCTCGCCAGGGCCCGTGGACGCCGAGCGCCCTACCTCGATGAAGAAGAAGCTGTCCGAGTGGCCGCAGCGTCGGATGTTCATAAGCTGCAGAGTGACCGACGGCACCTCGCAGTTGAGCTTCACAAAACCGATGGTGCGCGCGGAGAGGCAGAGCCGGTATACCCCGGTCAGGTTCTTGCTCTGTCCCAGCCCTTTGGGCTTCAGGTTCACCTGCCAGACCTCCCGGTAAGCCGCGGTGGCCGGGGTGATCAGCCCATAGTGGAGATCCTCGGCCGCTGCCCCAAAAGAGCCGCTGCCGCCCGAACCGGGCAGGGAGGCGCTGCAGGACGAGGCGCCGGCCGACGAGGCGCCGGACGAGAGGCAGTGCGGGTAGAGCGAGCTGGAATCATAGGCGGCTTTGCCCTCATTGAGCAGGTCGGTGAGCGCCCGGTACCAGCCCTCCTGCTCCTGCTCGTTTTCGGCTGCCACAGCGAAGTACTCGTCCTTGGTATAGAGGGCGATCAGATACTTGTGCTTGGCGTCCGCCCGCTTGTTGATGTTGAGGCAGGAGTCTAAGGCGATCACCCTTTTCGGGGCCCCCGACTTGTTTTTCCACTTCTTCTCATTCTCGTAGTACTCCAGCCTCGCTGGCAGGGGTGGCTGCCCCCCGGGCCCCGCACCGCCCTGCTCTTCGCCACCACCCCCGGGGCCCCGGAGGACGAAAAAGCGTTTATGCCCGTGTTTTTGCTTCCTCAGGTAGCCGCACTTCCGCACGCTGTGGTTGTTGTTGTTGTTGTTGTTGTTCAGGTTGGTGCCGCCACTGCCGCCGCCTCCTCCTCCGTTGGAGGAATTCGCCGGGGTCAGGAGCCCGTTCAGTGGCGGGCTGGCCATCCTCCCGGGAGGGTGCAGTCCTGACCTCCCCAATCCAGTCGCGAAGGCAACAGGGGGAGGGGGAGGGGAAGGCAAAGGGAGGGGTGATTTGGGGAGGGGGAGTGATTTGGGGATGGGAGGTTGGGGATGGCTTCCCTTCACTCAAGTGAAAGCGTCTCTTTCCCCAAAGGTTTAAAAAAAAAAAAAAAAAAAAAAGCAAGGATCGGAAGATGAGCCGAGCCGGCTCCCCTTGGATGCTCGGTTATCTCCGGTGGTCGGGCCCGAATGATGCACAGATCGCAGTCCACTCTCGCCCCCACCTTCACCAACTTCCCGTGGCTCCTCTCACTCCAGTGTCTCTGGCTGCCCTAAAAAGCACACTGTAGACCCCGTCTCTGGATTGCAGACGCCTTCACTGTTTAGGCTGTCCGCTGCTCCGGGTTAAGCGGCGGCACTTGTCCCTGCTGCCGGGGCTGCTGCCACTATCACCGCCGCCGCCACCGCCACCGCAGCTGCCGCTGCCTCTTCGCGCTCTGGGCTGTTTCGGTGAGCTGTGAATCCCTCGGCGTGGCTCGGGGTTGCTGCCTCTGCTACTGCTAGTGGTGCTACTGCCGCCGCCAACGGCGACTCCTGCCTGTCTCGGTCCCAGTTGAACAGTGAGTAACACATCGCGCACTGAGTGACTGAACTAAAGAGCAAAACAACATGTGACTCTGCGTTACGCAGGCACACACACGAGCGCAGGGCGAGGGGGGAAAGAGGGGGCGAGAGAGCCGCACTCCTCCCCCACACGCACCCCGCATTGGGTGCAGCGCCGGGGGACTGACGGCCCTGAGCACCAATTGAGCACCAAGCAGAGGAAGTTGAGGGGGAGGGAAGGTGGGGGGGGGGGGGGGGGGGGGGGGGAGCCAGAGGGTGGCGGGAGGAGGGAGAAGGGAGGAGAGAGAAGGCGGGCCCTAAAGCACCCCTCCTTCTCCCCCTTCTCTCTCCCTCCTTCCTCCTCTCTCTCCTCCTTTCTCCTTCTGTTTCTTTTCCCGCCTATCCCCTCCCCCGCACACACGGCAAAGAGATGGAGGGACTGGGAAGGGGGGCGTAAGGTACGGGGGAAATGCCAGCTCTAGTGCCTCATTAATCAGAGGCTTGTTGTTGATGCACGCGAAGGAAATGCCACCCAGGGCGTGAAAAAGGAGAGAGGAGAAGGGGCGGGGAAAGGGGAGCTGGGGGAGGAAGTGGGGGGGGCGAGACGGACCTTTCACTCTTGCTATTGAATATATTAAATTATCCCCACACTTCCGCTGTAAAGGAAATACTGTAAAGCATGTATGGGGAGGAGGTGGGGGGACTCTTTGGAGATCAAAGCGCAGACACAGCTAGCTAATAGGTTGGGAAAGGGGGGCGGGAAGCATCCCCCTGAATAAGCCCCAATGCATCTCACACCCTACCCCCGCCCCCACTCCAAATCTGCTGCGGCTCTGGCTTCATGGAATCTTTTCGTATGGGAAGAAAGGAGGTGTGGACGAATTCGGACTTCTTTCTCGGCACTCTCCCCCAGCCCCGACCCCAATTTCGGAAAAGCAAGCCGTTCTTTAATATTTCTGAGAAGTTTACGCTGCCGATTAGCCGTTTGGTGGAAAGGAGAATGTGTGGCGCAGCTCATGTTTGTTTACGGGTCTAGGGTGGAAGGTCTCTGGGGTCCGGGTGCCCTCACTTTTGTTGAGCTCTCAGAATTGTTTTTTTTTTTTTAAACATTCTGTCTCTCTTCCCCTTGTCTGTAAAGGGTGGCCCTAGAGAGAGGCTGGCTGGCGCTTGTTTACGAACATCAAAATTAGTCACACGGTGAGATGAAGCTCAATAGCAGCTTCATTCCCTTTACGGGAAAGAAGGGGGGGGTGGAGGGTGTGGGGGGATAAGAAGAATTCTCATTGTTAAGAAGAGGGCAGCCCCTGAGATACGAGCTGGGGAGGGAGAGGGTGTTGAAAATCATTGCTTAGGGTGAGGTATGCCGCGTAAAAACGGTGAGGGGAAAGCAGAATACAGAAAGGAAAGAGTAATGAGTCTTGGGATGAAAGCAAAGCTCAGTGGAAACCCCCCCAGCTTAGGCTGGTTTTAATCAGCCACAAATCTTTCTCCCAGACCAGGCTTCAGACCTTTCTTTTTTTACATATGCTTGGGGGGTGGTGGAGGTAGGGGTGAGGGGTGGGAGGGCGGATGTGTGTGGCAGGGGGTAGGGGCAAGATGAGGGAAGAGGGGGGGACTGGTCGCACAAACATCCCTGTTTTCGCATTTTCTTTTCGGGATGTCATCAGGACCTATTAACTTGTCAGATTGTCATGAAGTTGAACCCATCTGTTTTGGATGTAACAGGAGAAAAAGAATGAGAAGCAACAGCAGTCAGAGAAAAATACAGTTTCCATAGTGCAGGGATAGGGCGGGCACCAGCGAGAAAACAACATCGGCGAAACTCTGTGTCAGCAGCCGTTTGTTCCTTGCCTGCTCAGACCCCATCCTACACGTACACGCACTCACAAGAGGGTAGGAGAGCACATACCCACCTTGCGGCTACCGATCCCTCCTGCCCCCTAGGTTGAACATAATTTTGAATTCCTGATTCAAATTTTTGGGGTGGTTTTATGGATTTTGATGATATTCCCCCTTTTTTGGTCTGGACCTGCGATTTCATCTTTGTAGATGTCTCCTGGTTAGGAAAGTCTCTTTTGGCAATACAAATCAACAACTATACTTTTATTTGTTGTCTCAGAGAGTTGCCTGATGGTACTGAGAGTTTAAGTGACTTGATCTGGGCCACATAGCTAGTATATATCACCAGAGGTATTTGAACCCAGCTTTTCCTGTTTCCAGGTTGGCTCTTTATTCACTATGCTAGGCTGCCTCTCATGATTTTCATACTCAGAGACAAAATAGGTTCTCCAAAATTCTTCATGTTACAAACAGTAGGCTTAATTTGGCTATAGGATCATAGGTGGAAAATGAAGAATGGAATTGCCCTTTAAAAAACAAACTTTTATTTTGTTTTACTTCTTAAGAGTGTGTGAAGTCACATGAGAGAATAATTTATCAAAGTAATGAATAATTGTTATTAAATTATTTAAATATTAATTATGCACTTGAATTTCTTTGATAATTTGTAAAGAATAATTTTCAAAATATATTACAATCTTAATTGTGTCTTAATAATCTTAAATGGCATTTTAAAAATCAAATGTTATATAGTTTTAAAACATTTTCATGTTAAATGATCTGAAAATTAAAACATTTTTGCACCATTATAATTTGCATAGAGTTATGATTAAAGATCAGTGTTGCAAAGAAATTTTGATATAAAATTGCCATGAGGTAAATTCATTTAAATCCCATTCCTTAATTCTTGACCTCTTTATAAAGACATGATAGTGTGTAACTAGGCATGCCATCTTTAAATGTGGTTTTCTTGTTTTGTTTATGTGTAGGGTTGGTGGGTTGGTGGGAAAGAAGAGGGAGGCAATGTCTGTGGACATTTCAGTTCGATTTTCTGTTTGCTTCTTCTGTATATACTGTTGCCTTTTATATCAACAAATGTTGCCTAGCAATTCAGTGTATCTCTATGTGGAAAGCATAGAGGGAGTCTTACCTGGAGGTTTGAAGAAAATGTATACCGCTTTATTGGCCTTGTAACAATTCACATTACATTAGGAAAAAACATGTACATGACTGCTTTCCCTTTCTTATTTCACTTAGATCACAGAAGATGTTACTAGGAGTTAAGGAGGTGACATCTTAACCATCACTCTGTAACTTCCTGTGAGATGTGTGGTCCAAGTGTTTTTATTGCTCCCCACCCACCCCCACCTTCAGATTTTTACTCTACACTAGGATTAATTAAAAATTCTTATGGATCTTCAGCTGTTAGACACATATGATGTTAACAAGTGTCATCTAGAAGAGTTTCTTGACTGCTGTTTTAGGGCCATTCTAGTTTAAATGCCAACTTTTTTTTTTTTCTTTTTGGTTAAGGATCAGTAGCTACTATGGACAGGCATGAAGTTTAGCTTGGCTGTTGCCTTCCATCTGTTGCCAGGATCACCAAGTTAAGGGTAGGCAAACTGAGAAAAAGGGTGGAGAATTATCATGTACGTCATTAGCATTGTCTTATACCATCAAGATTGCAAATCTCTTGCAGAAGAAAAAAAAACAAACTGGTTTTAATCCTGATGCCCTTGAACCTCAAAATGTGGGAGGTATATATTTAATTGACATTAGGAAGTTTATTCCAGGATTCTGAAGCCAAGAATTTCTATACTCAGAATTATTCCAGTCTTCTTCCTCATGTGCTGAAGGCTTTTTCTTTCCATCTTTTATGGTCAGTGCATTCTCATTTCTTTCTGTGAAAATTCCTGGTTCTCTCTCTCTCTCTCTCTCTCTCTCTCTCTCTCTCTCTGTCTCTCTCTCTCCCACACACACACAGAATATATCATTATATACTTATTTACGAATTTAAGATCTGTTCTACACCTTATTCTTTTCTAAATGTTCTCCCATACTCTCATTCCGCAAAAGTCAGCTATTAACTCCTGACCAATATGCTTTAAACTGAAGGACTGAGAACTGTTGAATGGCTTGCTGCCAGCACACAGCCTGGTTGAAAATTTTTCTCATGCCCCAAGATCTTTAGTTGGCAGTTTTTTTTCCCCTCTTTCTGTAGGATAATAAAGTGCTTATGTCTGCTACCAAAAGGGAACCTTCATGAATCTTAGAAGTATTTTTCTATTTTAAATAAATCAGTGCTCTTTCTAGAACAATGGTTTTTTCCTATAGTAATTACATTGTTGTTTTTTTTTAAAGGCAAGTAAATATGCATCATAAACCCTTATCAAGAGAAATCCATATTGGAAAATAAAAAGGGATAGAAAATAATGGAAACATTATTTTTCTCCTTTGAGTCATTTCAGCTACTATTTTATGAGTGAAAAGGAAGTAGAAAGAGCATAAGAGCATTTATGGTAGTTAGAAAGTAAATTTGAGAATTCTAATATTCATTGTATTTTAATCTTAATAGAGGGTAGGTTGACCATGTTCTACCTGCTAGGGTTTTAAAATATATAAATACTAAGATTGTGTTTAGAATTATTGCATAGGAGACATTTTAGGACAAATTTGATTGTCAAAGAT